GAACTGGTTTGGAAGGGTCATCACTTGTGGTCGGGAAAGTAAGCGAGATCACCTACAGGTGAGTCGCAACATCTTGCCGGACCTGAAGTTGGCCATTCAGGCGCATTCAGCTTGGAGTTGTGGGCTCGGGCGCCTGGATCCCTGCAACATGGTTTTCCTCCTTTCAAGGAAGTACCCTCTTGTCTCAAGTGACCGCATGGCATGTCGCAGGAGAAGGAGCCAAGCCTAGCGGTAAGCTTGTGACGGTCTCAGAGCTCTTGCTTTCATCAAGCTCCCTTCTGTTTGGTGTGTGTGTGTGTGCGTGTCTCAGGTTGGGCATCGTGAAAGACTGGGTGTCCAACATGAAGAAGGACCCCCTCTAGAGCAGCCTGAAGGATGCACAGCTGCCCTTGTCAGGATGGCGAGCAGATTCAGCACCTGTACTCATCCTTGCAGCAGGCGAGCGCGGACGCATGTGGTGAAGACCCCCACATATCAGGAAGTTTAAAAGACCATGTGAATCGTGCCAGAACGTGCATGACCTCATCCTTGGCGCTCAAAGGGCAAAGAGCGCCCTGGCCGCACAGGGCATTCCATGTCAGCCTGTATCAAGACTAACCTACCGGTAGGGCCGGAAGAGCCAGTTGCCAGAAGTTTCTAACGTATAAGAACTAGCTCTTTCTCTCTGTTCCTCTCTTTCTTTTTCTCTATGTCCTTCTTGCTCTTTCTCTGTTTCTTCTTTTCTCATAATTTTCTTTGGTTGTCTCTTTCCGTTTCTGTTTCTTGTCTTTCTCTTTATCTTTCTCTTGCTCTGTCTGTTTCTCTTTTTGTCCTCTCTCTCTCTCTCTTTTTCTTCCTCTTTATCTATACATCTATCCATCTAATGTATTCTACTCTATTCTATTCTATTCTAAGCTATTCAATCTATCTAAGTATCATCTATCTAGCTATCTATATCTATATCTATATCTATATCTATATCTATATCTATATCTATATCTATATCTATATCTATATCTATATCTATCTATCTATCTATCTATCTATCTATCTATCTATCGTATTCTTATCTAGTTCATCCATCTATCTATCCATCTGTCTATCTATCTATCTATCTAATCTATTCTATCTATCCATCCAACTATCTGTCTATCCATCCATCTATCTATCTATTCTTTCTATCTATCCATCTATCTGTGTCTCTGTCTATCTATCTACCTACCTATGTATGTATCTATCTATCTATCTATCTATCTATCTAATCTAATTCAATCTAGTCTAGTCTATTCTAATCCAATCTATCTAATCTATCTATCTATCTATCTATCTATCTATCTATCTATCTATCTATCTATCTATCTATCTATCTATCTAATCTATCTATCTATCTATCTATCTATCTATCTATCTATCTATCTATCTATCTATCTATCTATCTATCTATCTATCTATCTATCTACCTACCTACCTACCTACCTGCCTACCTACCTACCTACCTACCTACCTACCTATCTAATCTATCTATCTATCTATCTATCTATCTATCTATCTGTGTCTCTATCTATCTAATCTAATCTAATCTACTCTAATCTAATCTAATCTAATCTAATCTATGTGTTTAATCTATCTATCTATCTATCTATCTATCTGTCTGTCCATGTATCTATTTGTCTCTCTATCTATCTACCTACCTACCTACCTATCTGTCTATCTGTCTGTCTGTCTGTCTGTGTCTGTCTGTCTGTCTGTGTCTGTCTGTGTCTGTCTGTCTGTCTGTGTCTGTCTGTGTCTGGTTGTGTCTGTCTCTGTCTGTCTGTGTCTGTCTGTGTCTGTCTGTGTCTGTCTGTCTGTCTGTGTCTGTCTGTCTGTCTGTCTGTCTCTGTCTGTCTGTGTCTGTCTGTGTCTTTCTGTGTCTGTCTGTCTGTGTCTGTCTGTCTGTGTCTGTCTGTCTGTGTCTGTCTGTCTGTCTGTCTGTCTGTCTGTCTGTCTGTCTGTCTGTCTGTCGGTCGGTCGGTCGGTCGGTCGGTCGGTCTGTCTGTCTGTCTGTCTGCCTGTCTGTCTGTCTGTCTGTCTGTCTGTCTGTCTGTCTGTCTGTCTCTCTCTCTATCTATCCATCTATCTATCTATCTATCTATCTATGTATAATACTCAGTCAGTCTCAGTCACGTGGAGCAACCCTGCGCGCGCCGCACATGAGATGCGTTGCCATTGAAGAGCCTATGTATTTATCTATCTTCTGAAAGCGCTGAGCCTGCCAGGAAGTCCGTACTTGACCTTGCGAAAGTGCTGCGCCTGCCACGAAATCCGTACTTGACCTTGCAAACGTGCTGCGCCTGCCACAAAATCTGCACTTGACCTTGCGAAAGTGCTCGCCTGCCCCGATGTCGGCACTTTGCGTGTCCATGCCATTGGCATTTGCAAACAACGCATTCCAACATTGCGAAAGTGCTGCGCCTGCCACGAAATCTGCACTTGACCTTGCGAAAGTGCTCCGATGTCGGCAAGTGACAGTTTGCGTGTCTTTGCCATCTGCATTTGCAAGCAACGCCCCACAACGCGCGAAACACCCACACACACACACACACATAGGGCGCTTGCTTTCTATCCCAAAGTGCTGCGCCTGTTGTGCAATCTGAGCACTTGTTATCTTTCGGCTTTGCCTCTCCTTTCTTCTCTTCTTTTCTCTTCTCTTCTCCTTCCGCTCTCATCTACTTATTGCAGCCAGCACGAGCGTCAAAGGTTTCAGTTCGAAGGCAAAGCAAACAGACAGCATGAGCTTCAGGAACGCTTTGGAGGTATGCCTCTGGCACAAGAGCAATATCTTTGTTGCTTCCTGGGATGTTGCATTGCGGTAGACGGCTGGCATCTATTTTTGTGAGTGATACCACAGGCAGAGCGCGTGCCCAAAGAAACGCCTGAGCTGGCACTCTGCTTCTTTTTTGTCTGGGCAGGGCACGGGCCCACCCAAATTCAGCACAAAACCAGCGCTGGCTGCAGTGCCCTGTGTCCTCGAGCAAACTGAGGTGGTGCAGATCGGCGTTTGGCAGAGTCGCTCCAGGAGCAGGCGGAAGTCGGATCAGAGATGGGTCCGATGCAGTTTTCTTGGTTGATGTATGGGCCAGGTGTCAAAGGAATAGGACGTTTTCTTGTCAGCTTGGTATTTTGTTCTTGTCCTATAATTAGGGAGCCCCTCTTGGAGGAAGTGTAAAGAGACACAGAAGCTGGTATATAAATCTGGACTAGAGCCATGCACTGGCAGGTGGCAGAACTGGCAGGTGGGCAGGAGCCTAATTTGATGTGACGGATTTGGCCGAGCCACCAAGCAGTTTTTTTTTTTTTTTTAAAGAGTCACAGTCGACTTCACCCCAGGGGTTCCCCTTTTGGGGAGTCAACATCCCCTAGATTTAAAGCTACGGTGCTTTGGTGGATCAACCTGGAGTCCAGGCGACATGAGCCACTGCCCTGCCATGTCCGATGTTCGAACAGCTCAGCGCGGCACCCTCGCCCAGGCACCCTCCGGTTCTGGCGCTGGAAGAAGGAAGCTGCGGCGCGACATCGCCGCTTTCGCACGGAAACCTTGCAACGTGCATGGAGCCCGGGTCCATGGAAGACCCTTTGGCCAATAAACATGGAACTGCCATAGGTTCCAGCTTAGCAGGCGGATGGGCCAATGTTGGCGCTTGCTCGAGGACGAACTGAAGCCGCAGAGCCTCAAGGCGAGTTGGCCGCAACGTGTCCTGTTGCAAGCATGAACCGCACACACTGCAAGGCGCGCACATACACGGATGGTGTAGTTCACGTCTTTCTTTGATGGGTTTTACGCTGCCAGGTGTTGCTTTCCGACAGCCGTCCCCGGCGAGCGTGACTGGAGGCGCAACGAGTTGCGCGAGTCGCGCGAGTCGCTCCCTTGGTTTCAGCAGTTCTTCCTTCCTAGAATGAATCTGGCTATAACTGCATCTGGCTATGTGTAACTGTCAAGGGAAATCTCATGTTTGCGGTGAAGAGAAAGCCACTTGGCCATGGAGCATATCCTATGGCTCCATTTTGGAGTGGATGAACATCCATTTGCCACCTATTTGACGTTCAGGGGTTTCCCGGGCTTTGACCCACAGCCACTTGGCCCATGGTTTTCACGAAGCAACCCAACCGCCCGAACTCACGTGGCTCGCCTTTGGATCGCCAGGCGCTTCGCAGCCGCAATCCTTGCGTCCACCACCTCCGGCCCCCGGAGGTGGTGGCCCCAAGCACCCTCACGAGGGATCCCTTCTGGAAGGATATGCCGTGTATTATTTCATGTCTTTTGACGGGTACGGGTGCAACTCCATGGTTTTGGTTGGGATATATCGGAAATACCGTTGTTTTTTGGATATTCAATTTTTGGGGGGATTTACCAGGGCGTTTTTGGGATATACCTTGTGTTCATGCGTTTACTTGGTTGAACTTTGCTTCCACGATTGAGGGTGTTGCTTTGTGAGGTGCGCGAGTCTACTAGTACGTCCGAACTAGTCATGCGTGCTATAAGACCTGGCTCATTGCATTGTTTGCCAGTTTGCCGCTTGCTTTAATCACGGTCATGATCCAGAAGCCACATGGGTACAAGAGCACATGTGGCGCTACGGGTAGAAGCAGCATACCAGAAGGGCCATGGGTAAATTTGACCGTTTTGAGATGGTGCCGGTGACCGCGTGGAAATCCATACTTGTCGTTTTCGTGGCCAAGATCCTTTCACAGTGTGCTCGGTCCTTGTGCTCTAGTTGACATTCACAAAGTCCTGTCAGCACGCCTGCCTGGATCCTGCCAAAATGGTAGTGCAAAACAGCATAGATAATATCATAATTATTTTGCGCTTTATAGACTTACACACAATGAGACAACAACCCAGAGATAGGTCCCTGTGTCTTGCTGTGAAGGACACCTGTAGAACTGAGACCTCATGACGTGGCTGTCAAAACCACGCACGGTTTGCACGGGAACCATAAGACCACGGTTTCGCGAGGGGCAACTCTCGGCCTGAGGTGAAGAGTCCAAATGTGCTGTCAGTGTCCCGCCACTTGGCTCTGGCCTGGTCAAAATACTCTTTTGCTGGGGTTGGCAGGGATGCAATCCTGGCCCTCAAAGCTTTAGACGACAATCAAAGGTTCCTAATCAGAGAAGCGCGGCTCCGGCCAACGTAAAGAGCTTGTTCGAGCTGAGGTTCTCAATGAACTTGTGGACAAGGCCGAGCCAAATTGGACTGGTTTGCTTACGCTTGGACTCTTTGCATGCAATGCTTCTGGCGAGTGAAGCTCAGATGCTTGCGCGCCAGGCACTTATTTGATCAATTGAGTGCAGTTGAAGATAGCCGAAAGCTCGGCATGTCAGCTGTCCCCCCCCCCTCCCGGAGCCCCAAGGCCCCAAGGCCACAAGGCCCCAAGGCCCCAAGGCCAGGTCCAGTTCTTGTCAGGTCCTTGCGGCAAGCGCCGAAGACGTCAGCAAATAGTCAGTTGATTTGAAGTGCCAATGTTGTCCCAACATGCAATCTTTGCATCGGGACTTGAACAGAAGGCTCAGCAACTGCCGAGTTGTTGCTTCATAAACCCCTGACTGAAGACGAGGCTGGACTGATGGAATTGAACACGGGCGAGATGGTAGATCAAGCAAGAGCAAATGCAAATGAAGGAAGGTGTTCTTCGCCCAAGCACTGATCCACGCACACTGGCACAGCAGTTGCGACAGCTTTCTCGAGTGTTGAGATTTACCTTCCCATCGACGCGGAATCCTCCAGCGGAGCCCACCAGAAGGTCCCTTCAGGAAATCGTCTAGGCGCCGCTCTGATTCCATGCTAGTGGCCAAGAGCGTAACTCAGTCCTTCCAATGCGTGTGCCGGAAAACGAGGCTACTTGCAGCCCAGTAGAGACGAACACACACACACACACACATGCTACTGGGATGGTCTGGGAGTGCGCTAAATGTTTGGTAGCCATGCTTTTTGAGAGGTTGACTGGGGGTCAAGTCGTGGTTACCAACCATTCCAGAACTCTGCAGAAATGTATATGGAGGCTGCAAAGCAGCTTACATGTTTTCCCCATGCTGTTTAACTCCACAACTGTTGAGATTACCATAGACTTTCGACAATATCTACGACCATTTCTCACAAGCAGTTCTGTGTTCCAAAGTCTCACAGTAGGCAGAGTAGTCGGCGTGGGTGTGTCCTTTTGCATGGGAGGCCCCTATTTGGTTGAAGTACCAACCTGTTTGCGTGTCCCTCATTTCGAGACAAACCCATATCTATTGACCGTGGGTCAAGAATAGGTACCCAAAATGGAATCCTGGTACATGGAAACATGGACTACAACCTGCGGTCCCCGGTGGTTTAATTTTGACCCATACCCATATTGATATATGTCCTTTTCTGCTTGTCCCAGGTTCAAAGCCGGCTGGAGAAGGCCGCTCTGATTTTCCCATGCTGCAGTCAGGACGTTCGAGAGGGAGCTGTCACTTCACAGGCTGATACTGTGTCAAGCAGGGGGCTGTCCCCTTTGGGATGTTGTTTTGTTTGTGTTGTTTGTTTTGTTTCCTGCATTTCCCTTTTTGTTTGTCCGTCTGTCCGTCTGTCCGTCTGTCCGTCTGTCCGTCTGTCCGTCTGTCCGTCTGTCTGTCTGTCTGTCTGTCTGTCTGTCTGTCTGTCTGTCTGTCTGTCTGTCTGTGTGTCTGTTTGTCTGCCTGTTTGGCTCTTGGTTTGTTTGTTTGTTTGCTTGATTGTTTGTTTGTTTGTTTGCTTGTTTGTTGTTTTTTCTCCTTGTCTTGCTTTGTCATGCATTGTGTTGTTTGTTTGTTTGTTTGTTTGCTTGTATGTCTGTCTGTCTGTCTGTCTGTCTGTCTGTCTGTCTGTCTGTTTGTTTGTGTGTCTGTCTGTCTGTCTGTCTGTCTGTCTGTCTGTCTGTCTGTCTGTCTGTCTGTCTGTCTGAACCAGTGCCCCAGACCTGATGCGTGCGGTTCCCACCAAACATGCGGATCCCCTGGTGCTGAGAGGACTTCACGAGTCCACTCCCACAGCGGACAACTACGAGGCGCGCGCAAGCGAAAGTGAGGTGCCAAGGGAATCTGTGCTGTATCCACTGTTGACACATCAAGAGAGATATACAGACAGAGACAGACACAGACACAGAGACAAACACAGAGATAGAGACAGAGAAGTTTGCACCAAATGACGGGGCTCGATTGCAATTGCTCTAAAAAGAAAGCCACCTGGAGATGGACAGTTCCTTCTTCCAGGCCCCCTTGCCACAGATCACATGTGCAAGCCAGGCTTGGAAGATGGATGTCTTGGATCTACTTTTCATGGCGCCTGCCTTAGTCAACACGTGCAGTGCCAAGGTTAATCTCCTTGACAAGCCACATAAAACCGGGGACCTTTTTTCTTCTTCTTTTTTTCCTCCTGAAACCTCTGCTTCCTTTTGTCGCTGTCTGTGGTTGGGCTTAGTACTTCCCACTATGAGGTGCTTGTAGAAGGCTTGTGACTTGGTTTTGTTGGGCTGAGTTCCTTTTTAGAAATATATATTTTAAAGCATCATTAACATCTTCTCTTGCTCTTTTTTTTTGCAGCATTATTACCAGCAACACAAAAAAAAACCTTTAAAGCAGAGACATGCAGAGACGGCACTGAGGCGCCCGGGGTGGGCCGCAACGCGCTGCCGAAGCCCGGGGCTTTCCAGCAGGCTGGATGCTCGTGGCTCGCTTCGCCATGGCGGTTGTCGGGTTTTACATTTTTTTCCGACATGTTTTCCTTTTTTGTGTGGTTTAGTGGTGGACATCCAAATCCACTGAACTGCTATTTTTTTAATAAAAAAAACACAATATGAAATGTTTTTTGCTTCCCTTCCAACGTCAAGCAAGTAGCAGGGTCGGGGGGGGGGCAGCATGCAGGAGGCTCTACCTCGAGTTGAGTCTACAAATGAGGCGCCCGGTGTTGTTGACGGGTCGGCCAATGGGGTTTTCGGAGCAAGCGCAAAGTGATCTGAGGAGAAAAGCCAAAGCAGCCGTGGCCCAGCACCCAGGAACTCGCGCAGTAAGCTGAGTCCTTGTCGATTTGTCCTTGTAAAGACTCAGAACCATGCAAAAAGGCTCGCTTCAAAACGGGGAAAGAGCAAAACCGGACTGACACAGGTGGATCGAGTATTGCAAGCATTGCTTGGGATGTATAGTGTAGTACTTCATATCTCCACTGGCATGCAGCCGTTGGAGATGACGAATTGGCACCGTGAAGCGCACTTGCTTTTGAAGCTGATGCAGTTCAAACCAGCACTGGTTCAAGTGAGCTGTGGCAAAGGTGCCAAGTCTGGAATTGTTTGAGTTGTTTGTCTTTTTAGCATGCAGCAGGCCCCTTTGAGCCGTGTGGTTCATGGGCAGAGCGAACCTCCAAGGTCACGCTGAGGATTCCGTGGAGGCTCCGACGTGGGCAGATGTTTGGGCAGTGTATGCCCTTGGCACGGCAAACAAGGCATGCCCGCTTGACTTCTTTCGTACAGAATTGGTTCAACTCAATCCTTGGCCAGGCGGACGGTCGTAGTATTTCATGTTCAAGCTTTTTCACTGGTATTCAGCGAAGACCTGAATGCAGGATATCGCCATGGACGAGGCAAGCTGCAACTTGCTTCGGGCAGAACTGTTGACTATCCCAAGACTGCGCCAGCTCAGGTGGACACGTCACAAGCTGAAGCAATCGTACGGTACAACCCTGCCAATGCTGGTGCCATGGAAGAAGACGCCCTGGGCTTAAGCGGCGCTGCTGTGTGCCATGTTTGGGGAGAGTCCGTACAAACGGTGGCTTTATCCTGGATGTGATTCAAGAACTCATGTTGTAGTTTCTGTTGAGATGAGCCCTTCATTGTCACCAATGGCGGTTGCCTGTTTCATCACAAACTATGTTTGCTCAATACCGATTTGGGCTTGTCTTCAGATGGGCCATATCCAGTATGGTGCTTGTTTTTCCTTTAGTTTCCCTTCAGCCCATCCCGCAAAGGGCACCAACTGATGACGTGCCCAGCTGGTGGCCTGCAGGAATTCGTCAACAAAACCTCTGGCTCTTTGCTGCGGGCCCTGCGGGAGCTGAAGAGGGTAGACGAGATCTTGCAGGCAAGCAGATTTGTCACTCACCTCACCAGGGATATCGGTGTGTGTGTGTGCCTTTGCAGGAATGGGGCAACTTGTTGGTTTCTCTTTGGTTTCTTTAAAACACCACCCACAACGGGCCTTCCTATGTTGAGACAGACCCAAAATATCTTTGCGAGGGGTTTGCATTGACGGAGTGGGGAATTGCCTAGCCACGCAAGCATTTTCACAAACATGTCGGGCCCATGGTGGGAGACGTGGGCCAACCCCCTTCTCTTTCTCGAAATCCCTGTTGCGGGACCGTTAAAGCGCTTGGGACCAGGGATGCTCCGCTTTCTGGGCCAACATGGACGGAACCGTACAGAAGCTTGCCCAGATGAAGGCGTCTTGGCAAGCAGCTGGACGAGACATCATTGGTCTATGGTTCATTTGGCACATGGGCGATACAAAAGAGTTCAGCAGAGCACGCTCACACGCTCGAGAGTCAGTGTGTCCGCAACCTCGTTTCCCTTGCAAACATGCAGTCGTGCTTCCTGGCTCAAGCATTTGCACAGCGCATTTTTCTAGAGCCGCGAATTTACCCAGTTCACCCAATGGCCAGCGCCAACCAACCGGAGTTCGCGTGGCTACTGGAGTCGGGCATCGAGGACATCGAGGCGCGCCAGTCACCACCCACGAATGGTGGATCTCGGCTTCGTCTCCTTGCCCTCGTCCCGGTGGCGCTCTTTTCGCTCTTCGCCACAGGCCACACGAAGCCAGGCACCGTGCTGGATGGAGGCTGGCTCCAGCTCTCCGAGTCTCTCTTCGAGCCGGTGGACGGTGGTCTGGATCGTGCTTGCCGCGGAGCCAGCAGCAACGACAACCAAGGCTGGTACTTCAACGTGGTTTCTGCGGCTGACTTGGCTTCTTGCCAATTGATGTGCTTGGAGACGGTGGGCTGTGCGGGTGTGGAGTACGCCGACGCCATCGACCGCTGCGAGATTTGGACTCGGCCAGAAGGCATTCAGGCGTCCCGCAGCTCGCAGGGGTCGGTGTGCTTCAGGCGAGTGGGGGTCTTTGAGCCCGTGGACGGTGGCATCGAACGCGCTTGCCGAGGGAGTAATGCATATGACAACAGCCCGAGCTACTTCGAGGTGCGAGTGGTTCAACTGCTGCAAGACTGCCAGAAGGAGTGCCTGCAGACCCCACAGTGCACGGGCATCGAGTTCTCCATCGGCCGATGTGAAGTCTGGACTCGGCCCGAAGGCATCGAGGCATCCATTGCTTTGCCGGGTTGCATTGCCAGACTTGCCCAGCCCTTTCGTCCTTTTGCCCTTTTGCCCTTTCTGCCATGGGGTTTCTTCATCTCCCCTTTGACCAACAGGTTATCCTTTGTAGTCTTAGTCTAGCCAAGGCTTTTCGTGCTATAGGGCAGAGAGCTTCGCAACCACTCTGACCGCAACGAGCTCAATGACCTCAACGGCGACATTCACCAGTTTCTCCACTTCGGCAACCAGCACTGCAACCTCAACTGCCACAATGACGGGTACAAGCACGACAGTCACGACTGATACAGCCACGACCACGGGCACGATTACGGCCACCAGCACAGCCACTAGCACCACACCTCTTGCAACGACTCCAGCCAGCACCGTTCCCACAACGGATGTCTTCTTCCGGGGCATCGATGGCGGGGTTGACCGAGTTTGCAGGGGCGCAACTTCGACGGACAACAACCCGGCCTATTATGATGCCCAGTTGCCCAGTGGCGCTTTCGCTTTGTTCCCGAATGCGTAGCGAAGGGTTCCCGTTTATAAGTGGGGGGTCTGGGGGTGGAGGCCGTGTTCGCGAGGAGTTGCTCCAGAGTTCGCAACCGACTTTCAAGCGTTTTGGTTGAATTTTGTGGCAGGCGCGGCACTTTGGAGCTTTTGTGGCAGGCACGTTACTTTGAGAACGCGAAGCGCAACCTCTGCGCACTTTGGGTGGGTCGAATCGCTCTCGCTGTGGTGCGGTGCGCATTTTGAGTGCGCCTGGGTGTAGGTTCGTGCAGGCACATCACTTTGACACAGCGAGATCGCTCTCGCTGTGGCGCGGCGCACACTTTGAGAAGGCGAAGCGAACGCTCTGCGCACTTTGGGTGGGTCGAATCGCTCTCGCTGTGGCGCGGTGCGCGTTTTGAGCATGCGAAGCGAACCCTCCGCGCACTTTGGGTGGGTCGATTTGCTCTCTCTACGGCGCAGTGCGCATTTTGAGCGCGCAAAGTAAACCCTCTGCGCACTTTGGGTGGATCGAATTTCTCTCGCATTGGCGCGGCGCGCGTTTGGAGACAGAAGTGTCGTTCAGAAGTGTCGATCACAAGTTTCCATTAGAAGCGTCGTTCAGAAGTGTCGATTAGAAGTGTCGTTCAGAAGTGTCGCTCAGAAGTATCGGTCGGAACTGTCGACAGAAGTGTTGCTCGAAAGTGTCGATCAGCAGTGTTGCTCAGAAGTGTCGATCAGAAGTGTCGAACAGAAGTGTTGCTCAGAAGTGTTGCTCAGACGTGTCCCTCAGAAATGTTGTCAGAAGTGTGGGCCAGAAGTGTTGCTCAGAACTAGAACTGTTGATCAGACCAGAAGTGTGGATCAGACATGTTGCTCAGAAGTGTCAATCAGAAGTGTGGTTCAGAAGTATCGCTCAAAAGTGTCGCTCAGAAGTGTCAGTCAAAAGTGTTGCTCGGAAGTGTCGCTCAGAGGTGTCGAACAAAACTGTTGCTCGGAAGTTTCGATCAGAATCAAAAAGTGTTGCTCAGGGGGATCGCTCATTGCTCAGAGGCGTCGCTCAGAAGTGTCGCTCAGGAGCGTCGCTCGTGTCGCTGAGACATGTGTGTAGAAATGTTGCTCGAATTGTCGCTCAGGCAGCAGTGTTGCTGATGTGTGTGTGTGTGGCTCAGACGTGTCGTGTTGACCAGAAGTGTCAATCAGAAGTGTCGATCAGAAGTGTTGCTCAGAAGTGTCAATGAGCAGTGTGGGCCAGAAGTGCGGATCAGACGTGTTGTGCAGAAGTGTTGCTCCCTCAGAAGTGTTGCGCAGAAGTGTCGCTCTGAAGTATCGAACAGAAGTGTGGATTAGAAGCATCGATCAGAAGTGGTGCTCAGAACTGTCGATCGTGGTGTCGGTCAGAGGTGTCGATCAGCAGTGTCAAATCAGCAGTCTTGCTCTGAAGTGTGTGTCAGAAGTGTCGATCAGAAGTGTCGCGCAGAAGTGTGCCGCTCAGAAGTGTCAATTCAGCAGTGTTGCTCAGAAGTGTCGTTCAGAAGTGTCGATGATCAGTGTGGATCAGAAGTGTTGGTCAGATGCTCAGATCTGTCGACGAGAAGTGCGGATCAGAGGTGTTGCTCATCAGTGTCAATCAGAAGTGTGGTTCAGCAGTGCTGCCCAAACTGTCGATCAGAAGTGTCAATCAGAAGTGCGGATCAAAAGTGTTGCTCAGAAGCGATCAGAAGTGCTGCTCAGAAAAGTCGATCAGAAAAAGTGTCGCTCAGAAGTGTCAATCAGAAGTGTTGCTCAGAATAGTCGATCAGAAAAAGTGTCGCTCAGAAGTGTTGCTCAGACGTGTCGATCAGAAAAAGTGTGGTTCAGAAGTGTTGACCAGGTGTCGCTCAAAAGTGTCGCTCAGAAGTGTCAGTCAGAAGTTGCGCTCAGACGTAAAATGGCAACTTTGTAGCGCACGTCTAGTGCGCGAAGTACAGGTTTCCAGCTCTAGCTGGAAAATCGCAACTTTGTAGCACAAGTATAGCGCTTGAAGTATGGGTTTCTGGAAAATCACAACTTTCAATTGCAAGTCTAGCGCGCGAACTACAGGTTTCCAGCTCCAGCTCACAAATTGCAACTTTGTAGTGCCAGTCTAATGCGCGAGGTACAGGCTTCCAGATCCAGCTGAAAAATCGCGACTTTGTAGTACAAGTCTAGTGCGCGAAGCACAGGTGCGCGAAGTCCAGCTCTAGCTGGAAATCACAACCTTGTAGCATAGCGCGCGAAGTACAGATTTCCAGCTCTAGCTGGAAAATCGTAACTTTGACAAGTCTAGTGCGCGACGTACCGGCTTCCAGCTCCAGCTGGAACATCGCGACTTTGTTGTACAAGTAGCACGCGAAGTACAGGTTTGTAGGTACAAGAAGTACAGGGTTCTAGCTCCAGCTGGAAAATCGCGTTTGTAGTGCAAGTCTAGTGCGCGAAGAACAGGTTTCCAGCTCCAGCTGGTAAATTGCGACTCTGTAGTACGAGTCTAGTACGCAAAGCGCAGGTTTCCAGCTCTAGCTGGAAAATCGCAACTTTGTAGCACCAGCTCTAGCTGGAGAATCGCAACTTTGAAGTACAAGTCTAGTGCGCGAAGTGCAGCTTTCCAGCACTAGCTGGAAAATCGCAACTTTGTAGTGCAAGTATAGTACGTGAAGTACAAGTTTCCAGCTCTGGCTGGAAGATCGAGTTTTCCGGCCACGGCTGGAAAATCGCAACTTTGTAGTACAAGTCTAGCGCGCGAAGCGCTGGTGTCCAGCTCCAGATTGAAAATCGTAGCTTTGTAGCAACAAGTGGACACGCAAAGTACAGTTTTACAAGCTGAAAACATAGTTTGCGCAGTAGGCTTGATTGCGAGCCCCATTGGCTTATACCGAAACATATTATCACTAATTATTTTCTTGGGTTTGCGCAAAGTGATGTGCATTCGGGTTCGTGGGCTCTGTCTTGTTTCTTTGTTGAAGGGAGTGTCCCTTTTGATTTCAAGCGACGAGAAACGGTGCCCTTTTCGCCCATGGCCAATGGGCTTCTGAGGATGCCTACACCGTTGCCTCGTTGGAGGAGTGTCAGGATCTGTGCAAGGCGGACTCAGCCTGCATTGGGGTGGAATTCAGTGGCAGCCGATGCGAGATTTGGATTCGCCCAGATGGGATCCGCGTCACCAACAGTGCCGCTGGCTTTGAGTGTTTGGAGGCGCTGGTCTGGAGCCCCGTGGACTCGGGCGAGGGCCGAGCCTGCCGGGGCGACTCGCCGGGGGACAACCTGCCGAGCTACTACGAGGTGCAAGTGGTGCAGTCACTGGAGAGCTGCCAGCAGCTGTGCTTGGCGTCTGAAGCATGCCAGGGGGTGGAGTACTCGCCGGGCCGGTGCGAGCTTTGGAGCCACAGCATTTGGTCCTCCATCAGCTTGGCCAACTTCCAGTGCTACCGCCTGGTCAATCGAAAGAGGGAGGCCTTCATCGCAGAGGTGACCGCCAACACCTGGCCAGTGCTGGGATTCGATGCGGAGTGCCGCGGCAGTTCCAGCGAGGAGGACTTAGCCCAGCACAAAGGCGTGGTCCAAGCCGCCTCCCTCCAGCGCTGCCAGGAGCGCTGCCTGGAAAACACCCTCTGCCAAGGGGTGGAGTACCACCTCGGCCGCTGCGAACTTTGGATTCGCCCAGAGGGCATTGGCAGTACCGCCAATGCGGAGAACCACATTTGCATGGGACGGCCCAGCTCTCTGCCACCGGGGGAAGTTCAGACGAAGTACGTGGTGCACTACATGCCATGGTTCCTTTCGCGGGAGGGTGGCTTCTACGACCACTGGTGCGTGGGCAACGCTCACTATGAAAGCGTGTTTGGGACCTACAACCTGAGCGACCGGGACATCGTGAGGCAGCAATTGGACCTCATGAAGAATTCAAGCATCGACGGCTTGTGGATTGACTACCAACTGGCATCTTGGAACGCTGTGGTTGACGTGATCATGGAAGAAACCGCTGCACGCGGTATGGGGGTGGCGATCGTCATTGATGATGCCGTAAACCCCAACATCTTCGCCGAAGTCGGCACTAAGATGATAGAATGGACAAGCTTCTCCCACTACTACCGTCACGGCGGTATTCCGATAGTTCCAGTGTTCAACACGGCAAACGCTATCTTCACCCCCTTGCCGTTTGAGGCCTACTACATGGCAAGGCGTGAACTTGCACGTCCTGACTGGGCAATGGAACATATCCATGGATCGCAGGAACCCTGGAGTGGCTGGAACGATACTACGAAGATGATCATGGCCTCTCATCCTTTGCTGTGGGCTCAGCATATCGGGGATTCCGGGACTGCTACAGTGACAGAGTCCTGGCCCCCGGCTTCCTTGAAATGCTTGAGCCCTCACTGAATATTGCAAGCAAGTACCAGCCCAAGTTCGTGCAGGTGCTGACTTGGAACGACTATTCGGAGGGCACCCAGGTGGAACCCAGCTGGGTGCGAGTCCACGGCACCTGCCTCAGCGCCTGCAGCGTGGAGAAAGGCGCCAGCTGCCGCACCTGCTACGACTGTGCGTCGGGCCATGACTTCTTGGACTGCACCAAACCCTACGGCGCCGCGGAGGGACCGGTGGACCCCTGGTGCAACAGCAGCGCCGTGGCCAGTGCCGCGAGCGACCTCGAGCTCTTGGCCCAGCACATCCGCGCCGAGGCTGAGGGCACCTGGATCCCCACCGCCGCCAGCTCAACGAATTCCTGGGCTCAGCCAGTCCACTGGTACTCCCGGGACCACCAGGCCCGGCCACAGGCCACGGTGGTGGCCTGAGGGCGAATGGCGAACTTGAAGCCTCGCGGCGAACGGGCATTGTACAGGGGGAGCCCGGACATGGATGCTGGAGGCCTTTTAACGTCCAATTTTATGTGCGACCGCAGTTAGCACTTGGTTTATTTCAGGCTTGCGATGCAGAACCGTGCGGAGACAGCAGCCGCAGAAAGGTTTTGCCAGGCTGCAGTGCCGCCAACCTCAGGGCGCCATTGCGGACGCAACGAGCCCAATTTTGGCAGTTTGACTTGCTCACTTGCAGTGGCAATGCAACTATTGCATGCCCAATGCAAGCAGCACTTTCCACTTCTGTGCGGTGTTTGGTCATCACCCGTATGCCAAACGCGGCCTCTCGGTGAGCTTGGCCCATAGGCAAAACGCAAAGCACTCAGTCCTGCTCCTTCGCCGGGTGCAGGAAGACTTGCAGCCAAGCGTCTCAGGAGCACACCGAGTGTCTCGTCAACTTTGCGAATAGCAGCAAGCCGCTGAAGGACGCCGACCTGAAATCGGGATTGGTGTGAGGTAGCGGCAGTGCATCCAGTGTTTTAAATCAGTGTTGGGGAGGTGGGCTTCAGAGATGACTGCCAGGAGAGATTCGAGCAGAGACTTGGGGAGTACACGACTTTCTGGACATCCTTGGAGCGCTTGTGCAGGCGCAGCCACGTTCGAGGTTTGTGAGCTACTTGAGAGCCTGCGAAGCGGTTTCTCGGCCAGACCAGTCCCTGGACTACGTGTTGTTGCCAGTTGAGTGTTGCCAAGTCCATGCATCATACATGTGGATGGTGTGCTGCATATGTCGTGGCAACGCTTCGCTGCCTAGTTATGCACGTTGGCCGAATGAAGACGGTGATAGAGACAACGAGCGTGAGTTCGTGGGGTGCGGCCGCTGATTTACGGCTTATTGCCAGGCAGTACTGCCTGGACCACCAGGCCTTCTCCAAACAGATGCATGCGATGATGCGAGAGGCAGGTTTCTCCTATCCAAAGGCTTGAGTTGCAAAGGAATTGCAAGCCTGAAGTGCAAGCCATGCCTCAAACGTCTTCTGCACAAACTGACGGTGCAAGTGTTTCCATGCAGATCTTTGCGCCAGATCTCTGATGCAGCAGACTTCTTGGACACGGCACAGAGCGCACGGCCGGGGACTAGGGAAGCTGCCATGATAAAGGGGAGAGAGAGCGAGCGAGCGAGCGCGAGAGCGAGAGCGAGAGCGAGAGCGAGAGCGAGAGCGAGAGCGAGAGCGAGAGCGAGAGAGAGAGAGAGAGAGAGAGAGAGAGGGAGGGGGAGTGTGACAGAGTCAAAACCGCGACCCCGACACCAACCTGAACCCAACCTCGGCTCCAAACTGACACTAAAGCAACTGCAAGCCGACTCAAAATGGAATTTACGCCAACTGCGAGACCAACTTGAAGCCCCGAAGGCCTTGACTGCCTGAGGTTGGGGGTCGCGCTCGGCTACAGAGAGAAGCAGCTAAGGCAGTGGCCTGCAGAGATTCGGGGAAGTGTTCTTTTGCTTGCAGGCAGGGAGGCTACAACCTTGAGTGAATTGGTGCTGGCTGCCATTGTACAGGGACTTGAGGCAGTTTGCTTAGGATTGTGCAAGCGCATTTCGCGCTTGTGCAGTTTCCTTCCCAATGCACGCAGGCAGAACCACCCCATGGCCCCATGTGCAATTCGCTCGCTTTCAGAAGATGGTCACATCATGAGATTGTGATGGTCTTCACAGAGTGAAGCCTCTCTCTCTCTCTCTCGCGCTCGCTCTTTGTTTCTTGGAAGCAAAGCTCTCTTAGAGCGTGCTCGTGCTGTGATGCACTGGCTATCCCCAGACTGCGAGGTGCAAACCGCAAACCCCATCCCTCCAAGCATGACGGCGTTCGGTCGGCTCGAGCTGACTTCCAAGACCCGGCAGCAGGCTGGCTCAGCCACACGCCCCCTGGTTCCATTTCGCAAGGTCAGCCTATTCAAGTGGTGCGTTTCCATGCTTTTCCCTGTGACTGAGCGCAGCCGGTTGAAGCCCCTTCTCTTTATTTGCCACCAGAAACCTGGATTGCGAAATCCAGAGGGCAGAAGGGAAAAAGGCGCAAGCCAATCACGCTCTTCAGCGACTTGCTCTCGTGCAGCTTGGAAAATCAAGGTTCTCCTTGTGATTTGCCATCCAGACCTCGACACAGCTCGAGCCAGCGGTTTCCAGTTTTTATGTCAGCTCCTTTCCTCCAATGTTGCGAAGGCGCGTGGGCCAAGTGGGCCAAGTGGGCCAAGTGGGCCAAGTGGGCCAAGTGGGCCAAGTGGGCCAAGTGGGCCAAGTGGGCCAAGTGGGCCAAGTGGGCCAAGTGGGCCAAGTGGGCCAAGTGGGCCAAGTGGGCCAAGTGGGCCAAGTGGGCCAGGCTCCAGGCTCGAAGCCCCGAATCTGAGGTGGTTCATTCTGATCATTGCGTGGTGGCCCAAGAGAAGGTCCAGCGCCAACACTTGCAAATGTGCTCGGCCCAGGCAGTTAACAGCTGCCACCACCGTCATGTCAGAGGCAGGTCGCATGCGAAGGGATAGGCCGCTAGGCCAGGTAGAGCGGTTCAGGTGAAATCCTCCGGCGCCCTGCCCTTAGAGCGTGGACCTTTTGGCTATGCTTTGGGTGCTGCCTGCCGCTCTGAGCTGTGTACCTGCGGGCACGTTACGGCTGGAACTCCCGTCATGGTGATATTCAAATTGACGACAAGGTCCAGGGATACAGCAGGGATGCCCCAAGCGTATTTTTGCTTCTTCAAATAAGGGGGCCCACTCGCCAAGAAAGGTCCGTGTCCGATTTGAGGAAGCGCCCAGGCTGATGTCCGATCCGTCTTTGGTCTGCCCGCTTCCCTAGGCGATCCTCCGCTCCGAGAGAAGCGATCAGCCCATCATAGCCTGCAAGGGGCAGCAAGCAGGAGACGAAGTGAGTGGTTTTTCCCCCGAAAACAGAGGACCCTTGAATTGGCGCTCCAGTTTTGTGGATCCAGCGCTTTCGGTGGAAGAAACGAAAGTAAACACGCCATTGATAAGATGACGATATCCTCTTGATAGGACGCACCCGGGGTCTGGGAGGCGAGTTGGCATGGAAGCCATGAAGTCAACTGCCACTGCAACGAAAGCATTCCTCATGCAAGGCCTTTGCAATGTAGCCTTGGCTTCTTGAACTGCCCAAGTTAGAAATCAGTGGTGCGCGGCTTTCAAAGGACATTGCGAGACCTTTCTGAAAGATGAGCCTGCTTGCCGCACAACCTACGTCTTTGCCTTACCTCGCAGCTGGCCATATTTGGCTCAGCTGTGCTAGCTGAGTCGTCTAAAATGGTGATCATGCGTTCAGTGGTTCAGTTGGGGCTTCTACTCGCGCTGCGCGACACTTTCCAAGGCGCACTGTTCCGCAAAGACCTGCCTGCAATGCGCATTCGCAGAAGGGCTCTGCGAAGGGCCAGGATATGGAAGTGCCTTGTCAGATAAATATCTTGCGCAGCTCCAAGGGAGATGCAGGGTGCCACAAGCAGAAGGGTGTGTGCTGGCTTTGGCGTAGCTGTTCTGCCGTTCAGAGCAGACGTATCTAAGGTACCTGCTACCAACCATGAGCCCCAACTGAGTTGGTGCTGCGCAAGAAGCCTTCGCCTTGTGACATTTTGGTGCGCAGGGCTTCCAGCACTACTACACATGTTTGACCGTACTTAGATTGCACCAGGCCATACATTGGCCACTGTTGTAGCCACCACGACGACAACAGCAACAAGCAGCAGCATCGACAACAAGGACAGTTCAAGATAGTTCCAGCATTGCCAGGGCTTTTCCCAATCTGCGAGCTTGCTTCGGGCTTGCAAAAGAGCGATGCAAGTCGCGGCACGACAACTGTCCATGTTGTCATCAAGCTGAGCTCTTTCCCTTTCATCCGTCCGTCCGTCCGTCATCCATCCGCCCTTTTATTGAGAAGCCATTAGCAATCTAGAGTGCCACACACACACACACATGTTGCTTTGTCATATGTGCTCCAAGCAAAGACAGGAAGATGCAGCTACTGGCCTTTGTACTTTGGTGAGGGGGAGCCCAACAAGTTTGGTTTGCCAAGTGTTCTCCAGCTGTACATGGCGTTTTCGCGTTTTCAAGTTTTCAAGGTTGGCAAAAGGAACGATATTCTATGAAGTGATTCGTACTCAGACGATACACACGCGATCCTTCGCGATGGATGGCCATGGCCTGGAGTGGGCTCTGTCCAGGGGCCTGCGAACAGGTCTTTCGCTCAGCGGTCAAACAATTGACCGGGATGCAGGTTGGTAGAGCCCAACACGGTTTATGACTCACTTGATTCCAGCGAGGAGTAAGCCAATGTGATTGGGCATAGTGCGCAAGTACATTGAAGCCAGACCAACAGCTTTCGTGTCAACTTCCCGTTTTCAGAACGCGCTGCCTTTGCTGCTTGCCTTTGCCCAAGGATTCTTGCCGTTTGATCCAGAGGTGCTGGCCTCAACATTTTACCGCGCGCATATGCAATACGTTCTGTGGACTCTATTTGTGACCGCATGGTTGGAATCACCATCATGGGTGGCTGTGTATAAATGAGGGGCTGTTTCTTGATGCTTTGTTTTTCCCTGGCTGACCGCTATATGGCTTCTAAGTTCTAAAGAGGGGAGAGTTATTTGCGAGATTTTGGTCGCTGGGTGCCAAGAGTGGCTGTCGGGCATGGGACGGCCTGCTGCGGTCTGCGGTCTGCTTTTCGTGTGCCGAGAAATTTATATGCGCCGGCGGCGGGGCCTGGTATGATTGCCGCCGCAGCCTGAGACGTTTACGTCCAATGAAGCGAAGAGGACATGTTCTGGTGGTTTCGAAGGAAAACCAGAAGGATCTACTAGAAATATGATGTACAAATATATATATATATATATACATATATATTACACATTCATAATTCATAATCTATACATATACATATATTCATAAAATGCCTATACATATATTCATAATATATATATATACTTATGTATACATTCATTCTATGTATATATGTATATATGTATATATGTATATATGTACATATGTACATATGTATATATGTATATGTGTATATGTGTATATATGTATATATGTATATATGTATATATGTATACATGTATACATGTATACATGTATATATGTATATATGTATATATGTATATATGTATATATGTATATATGTATATATGTATATATGTATATATGTGTATGTATATACATACTAATATAAATATATATATATATATATATACATACTATATACTATATATATATATATATACTCAAAGGGTACTGAAGGGAAGCCTGAAATCAAGCATGAGGTCAACAGGCGTCTTCTTCGATGGTGGTTGTTTACGAGGTTGAAGCACGTACCCGCAATTCTGACTTCCTTTGGCTCTTCTTCAGATGTGTGGTTGCATAGCGACTGAGGTGCCTGACAAGAACTGCAAAGCGATCAGGAGGAACAACAGAAACTCAAACAACGTTTCGTAGCTCTAGAGTTGGAATCCTCAAGCTGGAGCTGTAGAAGCAAACAGAGCAACATGAATAAACCAAACAAAACAAGAAAGCAAACAAAGCAAATCAACGCGATGATTGTGAAAAATCGCTGCCTGAAGCGCACATGTTCCTCATTGATTCGCGCCTTGGTCAGTTGACACCCTTTTGCTAGGATAACCACGACTCTGTTTATGGCCGAACGCACCCATGGAAGTTTTCCGATATCCTTTTTCAAAAAGCTAGCAAGGGAGCCCTCAAAAAAGTGCAACTCCCCTTTCCAGGTCAAGTGAGACTCTGGCATGTGGCAACCCGCTGAATGATCTAGAGTTTCCAGGAAGCAATGGGACAGGTTTCTCTTGACAAAATTAAGCTTTCAATATTTTCGGACAAACAAACGCTTCGCCACTGGCGAGCAGTTAACTTTTGCAGGGGAGCTCTAAAATCCCCCCGTTACATCCCAGGCAAGAGTTGTGTCATAGCAAGGCCCCGCGTAAGCAAAACCCTGCACAATATAAGCTGGCGTAAGCTCTTTTTGGGGAAACATGCTGCGTACGCACTCGCGTAAGCTCTTCTTCGTGATTGCTTGGTAAGCTTTGCAAGCATGCTCGGAAGAGTTGTTTCACACATGTGCTTATGTGTTTATTGGTGGCTTGTGCTGGTTCAACCTGGTCGAGCTTGGCAACTTGCCCGGAGACTTTGGCTGCAGGACAACGTCTAAGACCGCATGTGCGCACCAGTAGAAAACAAGACCAGCAGAACTTTGATTGGGAGCTCTTGGGGCTCATGCTAGGTGCTGTTGAAAACTTTGATTACAAGGACGAGCAACGGCTTCTGAAATCACGGATTTAGGAAAACTACAGGGGCTCGGGCACGTAAGCTCGCGTGAGCAGGCGCGTAAGGTTCGCGTAAGCTCGCCTAGCTCGGCTGCCCGCTAACTTAACCCGAGCCATGGATGCCGCTGTCGCACAACCCGTTTCTTGACTTGCAGCAAGAACAACAACACCAAGCCGCTGAAGCTCGTGAGAGTAGTTCTTCGTCAGGGTCATCCACATCATCTTGAACAATTCTAAACATGGGTCGCATAAGGAAAGCGAAAGCTCGCGCGTAAGCAACTTGATACGACATAGGGGTTCACGGGAGGTTGAAAGAGTCGCTCGGTGTCAGCTTGACCAATCAACGAATCAGTGGCATGTGTTCCGACTTCTTTTTATCATATCCTTGTTCTGTGTTTGTCAGACGGCTGCCCCCCCCTTCCCAGAGGCCGTCAAGCGCTGGAAGTTGGGTTTCTGTTTCGAATGTACTCATGGCTTCACCCAGAGCATGAGCCACGCATGCAGAACCTTGGTATTCGACGGCAAGATTGTGCAACAGCATAACCCAGCCATTTGATTGAATGTATTCTAGGTTGCTGGCATTGGTCGAACTTTGGGATCGCGGTTCGACGTTTGCACATGACCATCCCACTGTAAGGATGGGGAGGGACAGTGAGCGAGAGAAACCACATCACTTGCTCGTTCACCTGTGGGCTTGCCGGAGGCTTGAACAAGTGGGAGCGGCTCTCAGTGTGCGAACGGGGTGCGGTTGTGTCAAAGTAGGGGATCACTGGTTGCCCGAACCCAGCATCCCGAGTTAGGGTTTGCCACATTTTGGATGTGAGAGTTGAATTTCAGCGCCCGCAGGGAGACAAGATCGTTGCCTGCGAAAAATGGTGCGGTCTTCCTCCAATCATTCCTATGTACTGGCACAAGACAGCTCTTAGCTTAGTCCTGTCGCCTGAGATACGCTGCTTGTGAGAGATGACGTGCTTGCTGGCCTTTCTGTGATACCAAGGTAGCCACCCGTATCACAGAAAGGATTGTTTGCCACAACCATGATATGCTAGCGCATTTTTCAAGTGGCTTGCCGTTGACGCCGTCATGTTGCATGCCGCCTCAGATGTTCACGGACTGCGAGTTTGAGAACACGCATCCGGATGACAACGGTGTCTTGGTTGCAACTTCTGACGTGCGCGACCGTCCACGTGGTTTCACCGAGGGCTTTGGAAGCCTCCGATGTAGCAGTCTCAGCACGTGGCGGCTGTGAGCAGCGGATTTTGTTGCGGGGGTGTAGCGCAGTAAGTTGAAAGCGACGAGATTCGTCAAATTCTAGGGACATGCTAGTTGACAGAGAGACAGAGAGACACACACACACAGACAGAGACGCAGAGATACAGAGACGCATTGACAGGCGCACACACGCACAGGCGCACACAGACATCAGGCATACATAAACATGTATGTATATACATATAAACAGAGGGGCCAAGCGCCGGTACAGTATCCATTCATAGGCTGCTACCGCCAGAAGCTGGAATGGTGATTCTGCAACCAGCTCACGTGTGCCACGGTGTTTACGTGACCGCTGCAGGCCCAATATTGGTGCCATGATGAACAGCGCGCTGGGCCTCATGAGTGCTGCTGGCCTGTTGAGCACGGCTCAGGAAGCGCCTCATAGATGGCGGAGGGTTTGCTAGTAGCTTTGGGAGTAGACCATCATGTTTAAATCGGTGTGCCATGCGTCTACTGGGCATGCAGGCCAGGTCAGGCAAGGCAAGACAAGGCCAAGCCAAGCCCCGCCAAGTAAGCAGTAAGCGTGCCTTACCTAAACTCATCCCAACCTTATTCTTTGGTGCCGCAGCCGACCCAGACCTTGATATGTGTGCCCTGAACCTCCGCAGACCATTCCCAAGCTGACGCCAACCTAAAGCCAGAACCAAACTACCTCCCATCACCAAATTGACCCAAACCAGCCCCAAACCCAGCACACTCCAACCCTAAGTCTGCCCTGAACTTCGCCCAAACGCGGCCTGAGCTCGCCTTAAATAGACACGAACCCAAGAACAAGATCAATCCCGGATTCAGAACCTATCCACGATTCAGAAACTACAGTTCGGAAACTACGAATGGCAAGATCAAACCCGACACACACTCCAAACCCAGAAGCATATTGTGCACCAGCCCAAGATATAGAACCAAACGTACGCCTCTCCTAAACCGACCCTAGTAACCACACCCAAAACAACCATACAGCCTACACCCATCCCAAAGCCGTCCGTGAACATATACTAAACCCACAGACCGAAACCCACGCCGCTGGCGCTGCAACGGAAGGCTGCCCCCGAAAGTTCTAAATACCCAAGGGGATGACCATGGGATGACCATGGCATGACCATGGGATGACCATGGGATGAGAAAGGAATGGCCATGGGATGAACTCAGCCAGCATTGAGCTCTGGACACTGAAGCCCTTCTGCCAGAATTCGAGCCCTGGCGCGGCTGGCCCTTCCGCGGGGCCTTGGCCTTGGGGGACGTCCCAAAACTCGTCGGACCCTAAAATGGCTTTCAAAGGAGGCAGCTATGAGGCCGATTCAGCCGTCTTTCTCTGCTTGCTTCTCACCCGGTGAAAGCAGTGAGGCACAGGCATTTTGAGCAAAAAGCTCGCTGAATCGAAAGGCAGCCACATTCCTGTGGGTTCCTCAAGTTTTGTCTTTGCTGTCTAGAGAGTGAGTTGGTCCGAAAGCAATTGTGAAGTTTACATATATATATATAGATGCATATATATATATATATATATATTTGTGTTTTAAATTGTATGTGTGGAACATAGAGAGCTTCACCCTGCGCCTCAGATCAACGCCATGGAGTTTCAACCCAATGGGGGCTTGCCCCCGGACGGCGAGCGGGAAATCACGAGCCTTGGCGGGATGGATTGGGTGCGACCGGTCCTTGGGTTGTGCATGTGGGAACAGCTTTGCGTCTGTCCAGGGTTAAGATCCGACAGTTTTGATGCAATGGTTTGATTCATATGTGATCCAACCCGGGCGTGCTTTGACTGTGAGTGTTCCTCTTGGTGTTGGCCCTGCAAACAGCTCTTCCTTGTCCTGCAGCGATTTGTTTTGCTTCGGCCGCACCCCGTGGCCCAGGAAGATCTGCTGCAAGAAGCCGATGCCAAAGTGCGTCACGGCCGGAAGCTTACTCGCGTTTTGTTCGCACTGGCGTCGGGGGCTCGGACTCGGAAGTTCGGAAGCCGAAGCGAATCAGCTCCGAAAAGACTCGTTTGGGAAGAGCCCAGAGGCATTGTGGAACCCTGATAAGACCAAAAGAAGCGATCAGTGATCGGTATGTCTAGCCAGGGGCCAGCCCAGGCTTTCCACTTTCCCGCGTGCTGAGATTGGGGAGCCCACCGTGGTAGTCCGTGGCTTGCCCTTGGCGGCTCTACCTGGAGGCCGCTTCGAGTCACGCCAGTCTCATCATGCGCGCAAAGCGCCGCAGAGACGGTTTGAGGCATGCCGAGAGTGCTTGCCTCAGCTCGGCTGGGTCACTGAAACAAGTCATTCTGCCAGAAAGCGCTGATAGACATACAGATGCACACAAACACGAAATCCTTTTCAAACAGTTAACAGTTTTGGCTCTGGCTGTCAGCTGCAAACAGAAAGGAAGCCTCCTCGCGCCTTCAACCCTGGTCGCCATGCCCACTTACAAGCTGACCTACTTCGACATCCGCGGTCTTGCGGAGAACACGCGGATCCTGTTCGCGGTGGGGCAGCAGGCCTACGAGGATGTGCGGCTCTCGCTGACCTTCGGCACGCCGGGGGACTTCAGCACCATCCAGCGTCCCGAGTTTGACGCCATGAAGGCCAAGGGTGAGCTGGACGTGTCCCTTGGCAAAGTGCCGCTGCTGGAGGTGGATGGAGCCAAGGTCGGCCAGTCCAAGGCCATCGAGCGCTTCGTGGCAACACAGCTGGGACTCATGGGCAGCTCTCCAGTGGAGGCGGCGCAGATCGATCAGCTCGGGGAGACCGTGCGCGACATCAAGGATGCTTATCAGAAGGTGAGGGGCACTCAGGGCGAAGAGGAGAAGAAGAAGGCCATGGACAAGTGGTTCGCGGAAGACCTGCCCAACTGGTGCAAGCTCGCAGAGAAGTCCCTGCCGGGGTCTGGGCCGTTCCTTGTGGGCGCCAAGCCTTCTTTGGCCGACGTGCTCTTCTACACGCTGCTGCTGGCCCCGGGAGGTTTCTTCGACAACACCGAGGGCGCGAAGGCCGCGTTTCAGGCCTGCCCCAAGCTGAAGGCTGCCTTGGAGGGCGTCGACGCGCTGCCCCAGCTGAAGGAGTACCTTTCGAAGCGCAAGGAGTCGCCTTTCTAAGTGGTTGCAGCTGCAATGGACCGGTGGACCGGTCACGCCTGGTGAGGGTTGCCCCAGTTTTGGTCAAAAGGAAGCCACTGCAAGTCTTCTTGGTACTGGGTCAATTGGCCCTTCTCATGGCAACTCTCATGTGGTGCGCCGGCTTGAGCCATTTAGTGTTATTCGGTTTTGGGCTGTTGAGAGGGAATGTTTTGGGGCAATCGCACAAATGTGCGTTTGCACCGACGCCCTCCACACTGCCTTTGACAGCCTCGCACAGGACAAATGGGAAGAAAGTGATATACACGAGAACACATAACGTATACATTATCTCTCTCTCTCTCTCTCCATATGTATGAGAGTCGTCCGAAAGGTCGTTGTATTGAGCTATGAAGGGGACGACCTTTTGGTCTTAGCGTTGACCTTCGCGAAAGTTCCGCGAAGGGGGTCGCGGGAAAGTTATTTTTTTTCCGCGAAAGTTTTGTGTGGCTTGCTAACAGGAAGCTGGAGTGATAAACCATATGTATCTACCGGCAGTGCGCGCAGAATGCCCGCAGAGTAAAGTTGGCCGGGGAATGCGCAGCCTGAGGGTCGCCGCAAGAATACGCCGCTGCAAAAGCAACCCCCAGCCAGCAGAAACCAGCTTCTGGGAGTTTTGAAGCTGTCGAGGCAAGCTGAGCGCAACTTCCAGCCGGATTTTCGCGAATGTTTGGCGCGAAAGTTTCGCGAAAGTCGACGGACCTCCCCGCCAGTTTCCGGAGAGGCCAACGGGTCCTCTCATGCGCAGCTTGCGGCTTGTGAGCTGGAGCTGCGGAAGCGCGCTTCGCGTGCTACTTTGGAACTGAAAGGTCGCGACTTTCGAGCTGGGACTGCGGAAGTTCACTTTGCGTACTACTTTCGTATTGAAAAGCTCTGGCTTTCGAGGCTGAGGAAGTTTAGTTCGTGTACTACTTTCGCATTCAAGCACTGAAGAGCTGCGACTTTCGCGCTGGGGCTGCGAAAGTGTACTTCGTGTACTACTTTTGTGATGAATGTTCTGAAAACAGCCCCGCGAAAGTTCCGCGATGGGGTCCGCGAAAGTTAATGTTTTTCTCGCGAAGATGGCGGTTTCTGGAACAAGGAACTTCAGACAACCGTCATATAGATATATATATGTATATATGTGGTCACACACACAGCCCATGATCTACCTTCACTTTGAAAGAATGACAGACAACCCTAGAAAGCAATTTTGGCTCTGGCTGTCAGCTGCAAACAGAAAGGAAGCTTCCTCGCGCCTTCAACCCTGGTCGCCATGCCCACTTACAAGCTGACCTACTTCGACATCCGCGGTCTTGCGGAGAACACGCGGATCCTGTTCGCGGTGGGGCAGCAGGCCTACGAGGATGTGCGGCTCTCGCTGACCTTCGGCACGCCGGGGGACTTCAGCACCATCCAGCGTCCCGAGTTTGACGCCATGAAGGCCAAGGGTGAGCTGGACGTGTCCCTTGGCAAAGTGCCGCTGCTGGAGGTGGATGGAGCCAAGGTCGGCCAGTCCAAGGCCATCGAGCGCTTCGTGGCAACACAGCTGGGACTCATGGGCAGCTCTCCAGTGGAGGCGGCGCAGATCGATCAGCTCGGGGAGACCGTGCGCGACATCAAGGATGCTTATCAGAAGGTGAGGGGCACTCAGGGCGACGAGGAGAAGAAGAAGGCCATGGACAAGTGGTTCGCGGAAGACCTGCCCAACTGGTGCAAGCTCGCAGAGAAGTCCCTGCCGGGGTCTGGGCCGTTCCTTGTGGGCGCCAAGCCTTCTTTGGCCGACGTGCTTTTCTACACGCTGCTGCTGGCCCCGGGAGGTTTCTTCGACAACACCGAGGGCGCGAAGGCCGCGTTTCAGGCCTGCCCCAAGCTGAAGGCTGCCTTGGAGGGCGTCGACGCGCTGCCCCAGCTGAAGGAGTACCTTTCGAAGCGCAAGGAGTCGCCTTTCTAAGTGATTGCAGCTGCAATGGACCGGTGGACCGGTCACGCCTGGTGAGGGTTGCCCCAGTTTTGGTCAAAAGGAAGCCAACTGCAAGTCTTCTTGGTACTGGGTCAATTGGCCCTTCTCATGGCAACTCTCATGTGGTGCGCCGGCTTGAGCCATTTAGTGTTATTCGGTTTTGGGCTGTTGAGAGGGAATGTTTTGGGGCAATCGCACAAATGTGCGTTTGCACCGACGCCCTCCCCACTGCCTTTGACAGCCTCGCACAGGACAAATGTGAAGAAAGTGATATACACGAGAACACATAACATATACATTATCTCTCTCTCTCTCCATATATATATATATATGTATATATGTGGTCACACACACACAGCCCATGATCTACCTTCACTTTGAAAGAATGACAGACAACCCTAGAAAGCAATTTTGGCTCTGGCTGTCAGCTGCAAACAGAAAGGAAGCTTCCTCGCGCCTTCAACCCTGGTCGCCATGCCCACTTACAAGCTGACCTACTTCGACATCCGCGGTCTTGCGGAGAACACGCGGATCCTGTTCGCGGTGGGGCAGCAGGCCTACGAGGATGTGCGGCTCTCGCTGACCTTCGGCACGCCGGGGGACTTCAGCACCATCCAGCGTCCCGAGTTTGACGCCATGAAGGCCAAGGGTGAGCTGGACGTGTCCCTTGGCAAAGTGCCGCTGCTGGAGGTGGATGGAGCCAAGGTCGGCCAGTCCAAGGCCATCGAGCGCTTCGTGGCAACACAGCTGGGACTCATGGGCAGCTCTCCAGTGGAGGCGGCGCAGATCGATCAGCTCGGGGAGACCGTGCGCGACATCAAGGATGCTTATCAGAAGGTGAGGGGCACTCAGGGCGACGAGGAGAAGAAGAAGGCCATGGACAAGTGGTTCGCGGAAGACCTGCCCAACTGGTGCAAGCTTGCAGAGAAGTCCCTGCCGGGGTCTGGGCCGTTCCTTGTCGGCGCGAAGCCTTCTTTGGCCGACGTGCTCTTCTACACGCTGCTGCTGGCCCCGGGAGGTTTCTTCGACAACACCGAGGGCGCGAAGGCCGCGTTTCAGGCCTGCCCCAAGCTGAAGGCTGCCTTGGAGGGCGTCGACGCGCTGCCCCAGCTGAAGGAATACCTTTCGAAGCGCAAGGAGTCGCCTTTCTAAGTGATTGCAGCCCTTCTCATGGCAACTCTCACGTGGTGCGCCGGCTTGAGCCATTTAGTGTTATTCGGTTTTGGGCCGTTTGAGAGGGAATGTTTTGGGGCAATCGCACAAATGTGCGTTTGCACCGACTCCCTCCACATGCTGCCTTTCACAGCCTTGCGCAGGACAGATGTGAAGAAACCGATGTACACGAGCACATATAACAAATACATTATCTCTCTCTCCATATATATATATATATACATATATGCTCACCCCCCCCCCCCCCCCGCAGGGCCTACCAATCTTCTTCAAATTGGACCAAAACCTCTTATTTTAAAGACAGGTGGTGTGAGCATGTGTACGCAAGAAGTGCGCTGTTGACAAGTCTGTTGAGTAACAACAGGGAAGAGTTTATAAACTTTCAGGAAAGTTTATAAACTATGTCAAGGGTTTGACGGTTTCCCTGCAACAAGGCAACACTTGGGCACCTGGGAGGAGGTTGAGAAGTCTGGGGCATGGGGAGGGAGGGGGGAGGGGGTGGGAAGTCTTTAACAAAGTTGGTTGGGTCACACCTCCCCCCCTCCCCCCCCCTTTCAAGGATACCAGGACCATGAAGACTTCCCAGGGTGTTGCCTTGTTGCAGGAAAACGCCAAACACTCAAGAAGGTTTATAAACTTTCCTACAAGTTTATAAACCTTATGTAGGCTTAATGCGTAGCAAATGGATACTGTTGTTTGGGGAAAAGGTTGTTTGGGAAAAGGAACAATCTTCGGTCCAAGGAAACACAATCTGAGCAATTTCTGCAAAACACTGTGTTTTACAGCATTTTGTTGGATCTCTAATCCCTTGACATTTCCATTTCGGAACACCTAAAACCTAGAATCTGGAGATCAGAATCCTCGAAATGTCTAATGTTGGATTCTCCAAGACTCATAATTTGCAGCTGGGAGTCCTCCAACATGAATTCCTTTCCAAAAAGGATTTTACTCCGAATTGAATTGGAATGTTGAAGGGGGCAAAGTGTTGTTTGGGAAATGAGCAATCTTCGGTCCAA